CCCAACACACGATAGTCACGATAAATAGTGTACGACCTTTTGATTTACCAAACCCAAGAGAGGAACGAATATATCGTATCGTTTGGGTATCAGTGGTATTCTACAACTTTCTACATGACTTATTCGCTCGGCTATTTTCACTGCGCATTTTGCCATCACTTGGTGGTACGTTTCACTCGGCCAAACGTGTAGGTGATTGCAAAATTTTATTTTTAGAATTTCTGATCTATTTTTAAAAATCTTCTCTCAAAATTGAAGAAATTCTGCCAATTGGATTGTTTTTTCAATGAAGGGGTAGGGGTGCGGGGTCGAAAATAACCCCATCAGATTGATCAGAAAATTTACGCACGAACTGAAAAAAAAAGGCGATTGTAGCTCCAATGATAGCGGAGAAAATCACAAGTCGCACTTTCATAGATCATTTATCGAGTGCTAGATCACTTTCATCCGATTGGGGTAAAATATTTCAAAATTGCTAGCATTCGATAGATCGGATAACTGTCGGAAGATTTTCAAAAAGATGACTCAATTTGCCTCGGTGGATGCCGAGAAAATCCTGAATACATGTATAGATCATTACAGATCATCGATCGCTGGATCGCTTTTACATTTTCCGCAGTAGCTCTGGTTCTATGGGGGCTAGAGGAGTCATTTTTTTTTTACAATTCGAGGGTAAATTTCCCAATCTCAGCATTGAGAAGGTGAGAATCATCAAAAATGCATCGCAACTCGGGATGATTTTGAGAGGTTATGAGATATTTTTATATTTTACTCACCGTAAAACCGATGCCAACGGTCGCGGCGAAGTTTCCGGTTTGAAACGTGCCGGTGTCGAACTGCACCAGCAGCGATGTCTTGCCCACGCCACTGTCACCCAGCAGTATCGTCTGGTAATAATAGGGGAAAAAAAAACAATTCAAACATTATTTTCCATTTGGAAATAAAAAGAGTCGTAAAAATATTGAAGTGAACTTCGAGTGGCAGAACACAAGGTGGCACGTTGGCAGGTGCATTCATTGTGTCCAGGCGACGAGGATATATGGACTCAGTGGTGATAAATAATGCCGGGTATCAGCGTGACATGGTGTCCTCAGTGTTGGAAAATTCATCTTCTTTCGATAATGGAGTTTTTAGATTTTATGGGGTAGAGAATTTATGACACTGGGGCAAAACGGGTCGTGGATAATTCCATTTAATAGATCGGAAAAAATAATCGTGAATTAAGAAAAAGACGAGCCGTTTTGATTCGGTAGTTTAGGAGAAAATCCTAAATGAATTTTTGCAGATCGTTCATCGATCGCTAGATCATTTTTGTTCGACCGGGGCGAAAGAGGTTGGAAATGATTTCATCGGATAGCCCGAGAGATTTCGCATTGAACTGAAGAAGAACGACTCATGTTGCCCCAGCAGATCTCCCAAAAATCCTTAATAACTCTGTAGATCATTATAGATCATCGATTGCTAGATCACTTTTACATTTTTAGCTGTAACTCGCGTTCTATGGGGACTAGGTGGGTAATTTTTTTTCAATTTGTGGATAAATTTGCTAATCGATCCAATGGAATTCTCACGGAGCCGAAATTCCCCGCCAAAATTCAAATATTCAAATGGGCTCAAAATTTTTTGCCCCCCTAATTTTCGAAACTTGGTGAGAAAATTATCTCAGCGTCAATTGACCATGACAAAGTATCAGTAATTGTCCAATCAACTTTCAACTCATTAATTCCCTTCCCTGTCATTAGAATTAAATCCAAATTACAACGAAGTAGAATCACCCGATACTTTAATGCAGGCGCACAAGTGCCAATTTGACGTTCGACCTCATTTTCCAGATAAATGAAAAATAGTGGATTGTGTAGGGGGGAAAATACAGGAAGTTGTGATAGTTACTGAGAGGGGAGGGGGGGAGGGGGGGGGAGAAGTGAATTAGGTATCCACGCCCCTCCCTGCTGCTGACGTGTGCGCTCACAGCCTCGACATGGTAATTTTTCCACACCTACCCCTTCACACTTTTTTACTCTCTTGTTCTGTTATAAATTCATATTATGCCGAGTGCCAACGATTTTTGCTCAAATCTGGAGAGAATGGAAAATGGAGAAATGTGGGATTGAGATCAATTGTGGCAATTGCGGAGCCGTGACGAATTCACGTGTCTCTGGATGGTGGAGCGAAGGAGTTTGTCAGGAGTGAGTGATCGCGTCGTTGTGGGAAACGAAGGATTTCAGTCTTTTTTAGGTCCGAGAACTAATGTGGGGCAGTCAATGGGTTTTTGGATTGAGGGAGACTTTTTCCGCTATTGGCGCTGTCGATTGGAGATGATTTCACGAATTCTTTTGGTGACGCTGGGGGTGATACTGATTTTAACGGTTTTTTAACTGATTCATCATTCGGTTTTCAATGTTGATGATTGCAGATGATCAGATGACTGAGTCATTTCAATGACTTGGTCCAGGGTTCACGTACTTTATGACTGGGTTCAGTGTTCAAAATATTGGGATCTGTTGTTTTTGGATATTGCTGAAGAATGGAATGAAAATACAGTTGTATTTTTTGTTGCATTTTTTTTCCGGAGTCATCTCAATCATTTGGTCCACTATTCATGAGCTTCATCTTTGTCTTGCATATCCAAATTCTCCCAGCTAGAGGACGTTATCATCCCCAACCCCAGACATTTGAAATCCCCTGAAAATTCGCAATCTCTTTTTTTTCGTCTCTCACACGAAGAAGTTGAAAGCGTCGGCACGAATCTTTGTCTTCACGCTACCGGTTTTTACGGCTGCCACTGGCATTTTACGAGCTAAGTGTGTTGTGTGTTATCCTACCGAGCCGTCACTCTCTCACGTCAACTCGATGAGAAACAAAATGGAAACCAAAATTTTTCATCATGTAAAATCAAGTGAATACCAGCCGTTCATATGCAGCCGTGAAAATGCTGATACATTTCCCCTCTTTGCTACTTAAAACCTTTGTGGGTACTATCTTCTGCATGTGCTCTCGGCGAATTTTCCGGTGTATCGGCTGGGGTCATCTGGGACCCCACACCACTACTACCAGAAAAACCACAGGGAAATGGGCTTTTAGGAAAGAAAATCGCGTCTTTTTCGCTGCGAGAGACGAAAATATAAACTCAATGTCGTGATGCTTTGAGTATCCAGCATACGTAATGTGTGTGCTTGTGTCACGGAATGGCACGGGATATCGCATTACTTCTGCGACTGAAAGGAAGGAGCTACCGTCCCCTCAGTGGTGCTCAATTCCGTACAGGAAGGAGTGGTAAATTGTAATGTAACTGAATAAAACAAGAAATCCCCTTAGCACTCCATTCAATTGGAATTATCTCGGTGATGGGTGGGTTTGAGAGGAAATGTCGTTGAACATTTTTTGTAGGTAATTTAATTTCCTACGTAAAGTGTCTTGTAACATTTTTTCCTAAACCTACTCATTAACACGATAACTGGAGAATTTTAAAAATTGCATTTCGAGACATTTTCAGGTTTTTTTGGTTTTGAAGCCTTGCTTCAGGCGGAATTATCTAATTAACGAGTGGCTTTACGAAAAAATGTTATTAAACATTTTTTGTAGAAAATTCAATTTTCTAGAAAAAATGTGTTATTACATTTTTCTCGAAAACTAGTAAATACCGAGATAAATCAGGAATTACAAAAAAATGAAATTTTGTTCATTTTCTCAGCTAAAACAGATGCAAAAGTATTTTTTTATGCGCCGATTTTTTTTTCAATAGATCTCTTTTGTTGTGGATTATGTAAAATATATGTCAGTAATGATCTTAAATTTTTTTTGCAATGGATTTTAGGGAGAAATTTACATTTTAGTTGATGTGAATGAATTTAAATGAAAATGTTCTCATTGAAACAAGCTAAATTCAATCATCGCCACAATGACTGAATTATCGGCATTAATTCAGGAACAGTCACGTCATTGAGATGCCGCCAGACACTGCGGTTACAGTAACGCCTGACAATGGCGCGCCTGTGTCTCGCAGATTCACTGGTGAAACCGTGTTAAAGAGCTTGTAACGTTACAGTGTGTCAAGGTAATCCTCGCAGGCATGAAAAAATTGAATAAAAGGAAAATAATCCTGCGACTCCGGAAAAAGAATACATCATAACAAAAACGGTCTCACCATGAAATAGAATAAATCCATTAATTTTTTTTCACAAAAACTTTCAAAAAATTTTTTTTTCTATTTTTCTCTCAATTTAAAAAATCGAGTGACTGAATCCTGGATGGCTTGGGGTCATTAATGACCCCAATCGATAGATCGGTAAATTTACAAAATAATTGAAAGAAAAGACCTATTTTGCCAGAGTGGTTAAAAAATTACAACTAAAAATGAAAAAAAAATTCAAAGAATTAAAAAAAAAGAAAAATTTTCAAAATTTTTTTTTTGAGGGCAATTTTTCTGGGGCAGATCGGGTGCGTTTTTTTTTAATACCAGGATAAATTTCCCGATCTACGAAATGGCGCCAGGGTAATAGGAAAATTGTCAACAGATTTTTCCGAATTCATGAAAAATTGAATCAAGTTTTTCGAATAAAAAATTGATATAAAATTTTTATTGAGTCGAGCTATTGATAAGCCGTGGTGTTGAGATATTTACCGAGTAATAAGTGGATAAATAGAGTGAGAATGAATTTTTCAGGGCAGATAAATCGATATAAATTGAATGCCGAAGGTGTTTTAAACAGCAAAAACTCGAGTGCGAGAGGAGGGGATTTAAAGACTCGTTTTGTCGCACACGTTAAACCGATGAGGTATCAACAAGGCCGTGGCCATTCGTATGCTAATACCTTCTGCAACTTGTCGATCCGCAGTTCCATGAAGAAAAAAAGAAAGAAGAAAATTGAATATTTCGAGGGAAAAGTTGATATTGAGGACGTGAAGATAATGTTAATTTGTGGAGTTGAGGATATGCAGGGACTTTGGGCATTATTTAACGTTGAAATTCTTGGGAACATGTGAAAATATTTGCGTTACAATATCCTGAGTCTCAATATTCATGGACAAAATATACAGAATTTGAAATCCGGATAATAAGGAAATTTAGGTAATAAGGTTTTTTCCCCTTTTAATTGCTCAAAAAATAAGGAAGGGTCAAATGGGAGAGACGGATTGAAGGTCAAAAGGTTCTTGTGGGTCAAATGGGAGAGATGGGGAGAGCAGTCACGTGGGTGAAACGTTTTGTAAGATTTAACGGTCTTGAGGGTCAAATGGGAGAGACTGAGGGTCAAACACCTTTGAAGGTCAAATGCGAGGGACATATTGAAGGTCAAAAGGTTCCTGAGGGTCAAACGGGAGAGATGAGGCGCGTAATTACGAGGATCAAACATTTTTTAAGATCAAACAGTTTTGAGGGTAAAATGGGAGAGACAGGTGAAGGTTGAAAAGTTCTTAGAGGTCAAACGGAAGAGGCAGGGAGAATAATACGGAGGGCCAAACGTTCTTGAAGGTCAAATGGGACAGACAGATTGAGCTTCAAATGCTCTTAAAGATTAAATGGGAGTGACAGATTGAAGGTCGAAAGGTTCAGGATCAGACGTTTTTTAAAACAATCAAATAGTCTTGAGGGTGAAATGGGAGCGACCGTTGAGGGTTAATGGTTCTTGAAGATCAAATGGGAGAGATGGGGTAGAATTTAACTCTCAAGGCCCTTTCGATCCTTCCGATCATTTCATGCATTTCTCCCGATTAAACCTTCACCACCAAAATTCCCCCTTAAATATCAAAAATTCTCCCAGAACTATATCTCATGAAAAAACATTAACAACTCAAAATCTCCAAACACGATTTTTCTGAAAAAAGAAAATTGTAGGCGAGAAGTAATTGATTTGAAACGGGAGTTTGGCAGAATGGTTTCACCAGGGATTGAAGAACATTCCTCGTGACGAGATAAGTCCCGGCCTATCAGTGCGAGACGTGTTTACGTGAGAGAACGCAATAGTCGATGGAGAAACGGGTAAAAATCGAGGAAAGGAGAATTTCACGAATTCTCCAAGGGAAAAAAATTTGGAAAACGACTTTTCCAATTTTTTTTTTCAACAGACGCACCGATTATCGAGATAATTACATAACAGGCACCTCGGGAAAAAACTGATGCGCATTAGAACGCACGTTCCAACACTTGACGATTTTCTAATGAATTCCGATTAGGATTTATCCATCCCCTCCCCCAAAGTTTGAGTTTATCCTAGTAAAGTAACTACCTCCAGTAACTCAATTTGTATGCGGGTAGAGTGACTCCACCAGATGGGCGCTTAAGGCCAGACAGACCTTGCCAGCGCCTCTCTCATACGTATGTGGAGAGATATCTTTAAAAGCTGCTGGTTAATCGCATTCCAGTGGGACGCAACGCCGACGGATACACCTTCTCGCGATGCCACGGGTGTACAGTGTTTCGGACGTGTGATTAACCATGTACACATAATTTTCCATTGATTTCCCTCTAATTAGCTGGACAAATTCTCTATTTTCCAGCTACTCTCAATTTTTTTCATGCCGAAATCCCCTAGACCCTAGGTACCGCACTAGGGGGTGGAGATGGGGGGTCGAAAGTGACCCCATTCGATAGATCGGAAAATTTACTCACGAATTAAAAAAAAAATTATCCATTTTGGCGCAGGCGTTCCGGAGAAAAACCCGAATGAAATTTTCATAGATCATTCATCGATTTGCTAGATCATTGTCGTATACTAGCAGAGCGGAAGGGGTTGGCGGTGATTCCATTGCATATATCGAGAGATTTATCATCGAACTGTAAAAAATCGTCCATTTTCGCTTCATAGAAGCAGAGTTACAGCGAAAAATGTAAAATTAACGATCTAGTGATCGATAATGATCCACAAAAATTGATTCAGGATTTTCTTCAGAACTGCTGGGACTAAACGGGTCGTCTTTGTTTCAAAGTTCTCCAGAAGACTAGCTTTTCAAGTTAATCTGTGAAATAGGTCGATCGAAGATCTATCGATCGATTGCTAGATCATTTTGACATTTTCGGTTACAGCACCGGTTCTATGGGATCAAAATCGATCGTTTTTTTTTTAATTCAATGGTAAATTTTACGCTTCGTTTAACGGACAACACACCCTCCCCCCTATCTACACCCCCGCAGACATATAAAAAAAATTCTGAATAATAAAGAAAAAATTGATCAAACTCCACAATTTTTCGTTCTGCCCTGCATACATAACCTTGAGTACATAATCCGGATGAAATTATATACGATGGTTAGTGTACAAGCGAAGTAGAGAGTCCCGATGTGAAGAATAAGACCAAAAGAAGGGTTAAGAAGGGGAATTCAAAGAGAAATGAGAAGAAATAAAGATAAAGAAAGAGGGACGTTGGGGGCCGTCCCTGGCATTTCACGATCATTATTCCACACTGGTGTTCATCCAAGAAGGGGAATCACGCTCTGTGACCTTGAATCAATGACTCAAAAGTCCCTTTCGACTGTTGTATTGGTGTTTTTATCTCTGTCCTCTCTCGTTCTGTATTTTTCTCAGTAAAAAAAAGGTAAATAAATAAATAAATAAATAGAGGTCTTACCTTGTGCGTCTCGGTCTCCTCTCGGGTGTTGTCACGACGGGGGCTACTGTGGTATCCACTGTTCAGCAGCTCAGCGGGTGGCTTGTAGTCACGGTAACCAGTGGGCGAGGGCGCTGATGTTATTGACAATTGGTCGCCTGGTGTCAGGTGACTCTGGTGATCCGGGGATTCCGTCAATACGTCGTCGTTTAGACTTGAGTCACGCGTCATTTTCTGGGGGAAAAAGTGGACTTTATGGTACTCGTTATCGAAATTTTCGGGTAGAGTAATTCCTGATGAATTTCGTGTCACGAAACCCCGAACAGAAGTTACGCAGTGGAGCACTGCGTATGAAGGGAATATGAAATATCTCGAAAATTATTGAGAAGTCGTCGAGACATCCAGTGTGACAAATATAGGAAATTTCATAACGAATAAAATGGTTTTAAAATCACATCTCTACGAGTCGTAGTTCTCCGGATGTGGACGTTGTTGGATAGGAGCGCCCCGCGGTGCACGCGCTCTCTCAGAGACGAAAGGTCTTCAGCTACCCACTCAAACAAATGGCAACGTCTCGAGAATTGTGAGTCGTAGAGGCATGAGTAAAAGAAACATTTTATTCGTCATGAAAATCTGCTCGGAACATTTCCTTGGAAACAGATTCTGCGATGTTGACAATTTTCGTTGGAATCTCTGACTGAAATTGGGTCAAACGAGTGGTGAACGAAAATTTCCGACGATTGATGGCCACCGAGCAATCATCCCCGCGAGCGTCATTCGAAAAAGTCGAGAAAATTGGTGGAGAGTCAACTTGAGTTAACGTTTTTACAGTGGTTAGCTGGTGTTGGCGTTTGCAATTGAGGGGTGGGGCAGAGGCACCCCTGTGATCTCGCCATCGAGGGCGGTCTGAAGGGGCGAAATGTAATGGAGGGCGCACCGGGAACCGGAGTGCAGTGCGATCTGGGTAAATTGGGGGTGATGGGAGACATGAACTTCCAGAGTCGCTTGATGAATCAAGTAATTCATCTTCGTTCATTTACGACCGCTTCGGGTTGACCCCATAGATTTCAAAGACCGGGGAAGTTAACTGAACTCGTGAAAGAGGACGATACCCGTATCTCTTCAACATCCCGAGAGGACTGACAAAAGCATCATTTAGTCCGATGCCCAAATCGCGAAGAAAAATCGCGATGTGATATCGTAAAAATTCTCAGGCGCAAGCGATAATTTTCAATCATCGATAACTCGACAACGGCAGAGTGAAATTCCAACAATTTTCCGCCATTTTGAAGCCCTTTTCAGAAGCTTCAAACACCTATAAATTTATTCAAATCGCACCATTCTGCCCCACCCTTCCCGCCTTCCTCCCGAATCTTACAGAACGACCAATTTTCATGCTTGCTGCTTCACAGGTCTAGCCAAAAGATATTTCGAACTTGATGCTTCCTCGTAATTCAGTCATAAACATGAGCGTAAAATAGAGTGATCTTTACGTTCGCAAGGAGCATTTCCCGGAAATTACAGAGTTGAAACGTAATAAGAGGAAATTATCATCGACATCATTCACTCAGTGAAACCAAATTACCATCAAGGAAGCAGATACACCATCATTCATAACCTCAATTTGTCCATTGACCGAGTGCAGGCATCCTACCACGTAAACCCAAAGTTTAATCGATCACGTCTGTTTCACAAGGTAACATCTAGTGCATCGGAAGCATCGGGCAAACTGTGACGTTGTCGGATGTCGGCTCTGTTATTGGTATTATCGGTGTTTCCGGCTTGTACGTAAACACCACGGGGGGATTTACTCCAAAAGAGACACAAAGGCTAGTCAACCTTTCAACCATCAACGAATAACGAGGGAAAAAAAGGCCAGAGGGAATTTCTCTCTGCCCTCTCCCCTTGCACACCCCTCAGAGGGATTACGTGAAATCGAATTAGTATCAATGTCTTTGATATTTTATATCCTTCGTAAAAACAACCGAGCATAACCTGATCAAACCCACCCCATTCTCTAGATTGGGAGAATCTTAGCGAGTAAGGGAAAAGACTTGCAACAATTTGATTCAAAAAATTCTTTTGCGATTTTTGCCAGACCTAATGAAGCAGAACGAGTTGTCTGTTCTCAATTCGCCATTTCTCTATTTATTTGAGGTCTTGAGATAGTGGAATATGAACTTACGTTTAAAGATGATGAAGCGGTGAGGGTTGTCATTCCCGTCGCTCCCTCCCGCATGGCGCCTGAAATTATAAACAAAACAAAAAATTCGTAAATTCTACGAATAATTTCTTAAGACTTTTGAAAGTCGCAAATTAAGACGTCTGACAGTCTCAATTTGAGACTCAAAGGTCTCCGACATCATAAGTCTCAAGATGGAGCTTAATTCTATAAAGCTTTCAAAAGTCTCAAGTCTTAAGACTTTTAAGTCTTGAGTTGAAAGATTCGACTTGACTTTTTCAAAAATCTCAAGTTGAAACTTTTGAAAGTTTTTATTTGCAACTTAAAAATTTCAAGTTGAGACCTTCCAAACCCTTTTGAAAGTCTCATTTGGCTACAATAAGACTCAAAATAAAGCTTCACAACTTGACACCTGGAATTTCATAAATTCACCCAACAATTTCAATTTGCGTGTAATAATCCCCCGTTGAAGGGCCCACCTGAGGGCATACGAGACACAAAGAGCTACCATGGGGGTTACAGTGTCGAAGGACATGGAGAGGATATTCGATTGTTCACCGAGTAGTATCAATGTGCGCTTGTGTGTTGAATACATTTGCCCTCTCGGCACAAGCTGCAAACGCACGCTTCGTATCGCCATCAAAGCGCTTGTCTATATTTAGCTCTGAGCCCTCTCAACAAACCGCCCACACTCACCACGCATTTCACGAATCTGCATTTGTTGAGTCTTTTGAAAATCCTCAATACCATTGTACTGTTTATAATTGTCAATTGCCAATGGAAAACATCAATATTGATAAATTCGTAAATAATGGATTCATCAGAGCCTGGCATTTTGGGGATTAAATCCCATTAGCTTAATGGACAAATTGGCTACCGCAGGATTGGATCAGTGTAACCAGCATCGTGGCAAAACCACCCCCGGATGTATAGTATTGTGGTCAGTGAATGAATTCATCTATTACGAAAACTGGATTATCACGGGATCAGCATTGATCTGCTATTCCGACCCAGTGACCGTGCCCTTTGGCCATGTGTACATCATAGACTACTTAATACTGTGGTCTGATGATGGACCTAGTGATGCTGCAATATTCACCTGAGTTGTTAAACTCCCCGGCAGCTGATGAAACGTCCGAATTTTCAAAGGCCTCTTTCAAACTAGGTTACGTCGAATGTTTTCCTGTCACCTTCACACGTGACACAGATACCACAAGTTCTTCATTAGTTCCACTTGACACTTGAAAATTTATCTTGAGCTACGTTTAAATCGCCTGATGAGTGAGTGATGCTCCAGCAAGGCACTTGTATCACATCAGAGTAGATCCCTATTTTTTAATACATTTTTCAAACGTATTGTGATTGAAAATCGCTACGACTCAGCAACAGAACGAGAGCTCTATCGCTAACGCATGCGCATTCGTGACGCCTAATGCAAACTCGATGCCCTAGTTATTGCGTCATTCTTCAGCGTCACTTGTTTAACACGTGCTGCCAAAAATTGGCGGGAAATTCTGGAGGACGTAATCTCTGAACCAAAAACGAAAGCCTGACCAAGAAGTCTGATGATTCAGGCCTACATTTAGGAACAGCAAGCTTTTTGGGGCATCCGTCAATCAATTCCGCTTCAATCAGCCCGAAATAATCCATCGAATTCCGACTTTGACAATTAAATCCCCCGATACGTGAGTGATGCTCCAGCAAGGCACTCGTATCGCATCAGAACAGACCCCAATTTTTTCAAAACATTTTTCAAACGTATTGTGATGGAAAATCGCCACGACTCAGCAAGAGGACGTGAGCTCTATCGCTAACGCATGCGCATTCGTGACGCCTAATGCAAACTCGATACCGTAGTTATTGTGTCATTCTTCAGCGTCACTTGTTCAACACGTGCTGCCCAAAATTGGCGGGAAATTCTGGAGGACGTAACCTCTGAACCAAAAACGAAAGCTTGACCAAAAAGTCTGATGATTCAGTCCTAAGTTTGGGAACAGCAAGTTTTCTGGGGATCCGTCAATCAATTCCGCATTAATCAGTCTGAAATAATCCATCGACTTCCTCTCCCCCGCCCACCTCACCCACTCGCAGAATCGACAATAAGAAGGTGACAACTCCAACAAAGAAAAAACAACCTGAATTGAACTTTCCATAACTGATAACCGACGGAGACCGCAACGGGTCAGAGTCCGACGAGCGCCCGCATATCCACGAATGCCGTAACAGCCGATAAAATCACCCACCACTATCAGGATTTACCAACCCCTATCCGTGAGCAGTAAAGGGGCAGAAGCAAGCGTCAACGTGGGTGGGCGGTATATAATGACGTAGACTTGCGCGGCCCTCGCCGAAGCACAATTTCTTCAATATCCCTGTGGTTCGCGTTTCCGCCGCAAGATGCCGCTGGCATTGGTCGACAAGTGGCACTGCTGATGCCTCATGACTAGCCAGCATAAATCAGAATCGTTGAAAGCCCTTTTATCGCGTCATTTGCATGTCTAAATCATCCTGCAGGATCGCTTGATCTTCTACGTCGTAGACGAACCCCTGAAACTCCGATGATCGGAAAAAGCCAGCTACATGTGCTGGAGGAACCCTCAAAGAGCATCACCCAACCTCGCTGTTTCATCGCAATGACTCAGCAGTCATAGAACCGCCGTTCGTCCCCCGGAATCCCTTAAAAAGCTTCTGAAATCGTTTAATACTCAGCACGAACTTTCTAGAAGGAATTCCGTCTGGCCACCAGCTGCCACTGGCGTCGCTTTGTGCTCCTGATACCCGTAAAAATGGCGTCCGCATTGCCCCATCTGTCCCCCTCGGCCGCCAGCGCATCGCCCACCTAGTGCTCCCCCACCTGCTGAATCCTCCGAAAAACCCCATCATCCTCATCACCACCTGTCCTCATCACCATCCGATCCAGCCGTTTCCATAATTGTCCCCCTCGCTCCATCACTCCTCGTCCACCTGAGAGCCAGAAAGAGGTGTTTGTACGCCTAATAATCCCCGCCCTCGATTTCCCGGTAAAATAATCTCGAAGATCCGAACGAGCTAACGAGTGCCGGTCCAAAGGTCGAGATGATCGTGGCTGAACGAGAACGCCGAATAAAGCACGAAGAAACCACGGTAAGGAGGTGAATCTGTTCTCCTGATATCCAACGATTACAGTCATGCAGGCTTACCTCCTCGCCAGCATGGCTTCTGATACACATGGAAAAACACGTTCGTGCCAGCTCTTGATGGGAAGTCCTCCTGTTACAACAGTTGGCCTAGCCATTAAACCAGAACAGAGTGGAACGCATTAGCCTTGTAACCGAGGAGGTTGGATCCACTTGTGCGCCTGATACTTCATCCTTCGGACGGGAATATTGGTGGATCACCGGTTACATGTAGTCATGCCACCTCTTTGCCGGATTGAGCTTGTTTTTTTTAGATGCAATCCTGGGAGAACAGCCAACGGCAACGACAGCGGCTGCGTCACACTCGGGGACAAGGCGACGCGCCATCTTGCACGTCTGCGTCTCGCCGCCCATGCGATCAGGAGAGCAGGATCTGGGGTTGTGGAGAAGCGAGGAGCAGGGCGATGATGGGAACGATACCAGTTGGCTTTTTTTCGGGCTGGATTGGGTGATGGGATAGGAGGGCGATTGATGATTTGGTGATGTTGTTGGAGAATCCTCGCGGATTCGATCATACTGGTGATGATTGATGAGGTCTGATATCATTCTGCCTGATGAGGGCAATTTATTTGGGGGCTGGGCACGTGTGCTCCCTGCATAAGGCCCATTTTAGCACATCAGTTGATGAGAATTGAAGATTTGGCAGAAGATTCAGCTAGCAAGATCGTCCAAAACCGCGAAAACTTTGGTCTACAGTATTCTTTCATGAATGAGGCCACTGAAATCCTCAATTCTCCTTTCAACTCAACAATGTTCCACCGCCCGACTTTCATTATTCAATTTCCACCAGGCGATTTCCATAACTCAGCGAAACCCAAATACCAAATTCCAGGGAATCGCTTGTTAATCAAGCGTTTTCCTGGAGAAAATCATATAAGATTATGATTTATGAACGAGATATCCCAAGATTTAGTGGTTCACCTAGTTACGAACGTACACGAATGAAAATTTCTGATGAACCACTTCCGGGTATCGGCATCAAAGCCCGTGAATGTTCTAGATGACTCGAAAGTAAGCGATTCAGCCAAATGAGAGAGCAATTTTTTCCCAATACTTGGTGAATGATGATTCAATCGCGGCAATAGCTGTACCACCTGAATGCACCATCTGAATCATCAGCAATCATAAATCACCCCGATTCATGCCCCTAAATGTGTTTAAATCGACCTGATGCAATGGAAAACCGCAAAGTAAAAAAAGAATTCAAACCAATCCATAATGTATAACCAATTCCCCTTGCAGCTCGCTAAAAAGAGAACGCTTTTATAACGCACAACACCGCTTGCTCTCGCCATTTATGGAAGAAAACGAGGAGAAGGCTCCTATCCATTCTCATCGAGGTAACATGACGCGGAGAAAGTCGCCCAAATGAATTCAACCGTCTTATTCTACAAATATATTTTCTACTCTCATTTCGGAGTTCCTCAGCAAAATCCAACCGCCACTTTCTGTCATTGTCCACGGAAAACTCCAACGCGTGAGAATTACCACAAATGATCAATTCCGCGGATTGATTATCCGCGGAACTTGGGTAATTGGACTCGCGGAATTTCCTGATATCATCGAACGAATTAACGCGAATTGAACGCGAAATCGGTGGCATTGCAGGGCTCAATTCACGATTCACGAATGCAGATTTTCAATGCTTCTTATTTTCATTCTTTTTTTCCATTGCCTTTTTCGAGATGGCCAGAGTGTTATGTACAGTAGATAATCGTGAGAGTTCTTGTGTTCTCGGTCGACGAGGCACGCCGTGGCGTTTCTTTCTCTAACGGATGTCAGTGACCCTCCTCCCCCCTCCCCATTGCCAACCTTCCTCCTCTCAACCTCCTTCCTCTATCTCCCCATGGGCGCTATATACTTCTGTGTGTTGGGACGGCGGTCTC